GCAAGGGAGACCTGTCAGACTGTGGCAACTACCATGGGGTCTCGCTGCTGTTAATGACTAGCAAGATTATCGCCCGAGTCCTCCTAAACAGACTTCGTCCTGAGGCAGAAAACTTTCTCCCAGAATCTTAATGTGGCTTTAGACCATCACGTGAAATCACTGACAGGATCTTTGCTGCCTGCCAGGTACAATAAAAGTGCAGAGAACAGTGTAGTGACCAGTACATGGCCTTTATCGACCTTACCAAGGCCTTCGACTCGGTCAACAGGGAAGCCCCCTGGTGGACCCTCAGCCCTTTTGGCTGCCCACCAAAATTCGTCGCCATTGTGAGGCAACTCCACGATGGCACGAACGGCAGTGCCCTGTACAATGGCACCCAGTCTGAGTTCTTCCTCATCCAAACGGGGGTAAAACAAGGATGGGTACTGGCGCCAACTCTCTTTTTCATTTTCTTGGCTGCCTTCCTTATGCGTGCCTGTGCCAATTTAGCAAGCGGGGTGGGCACCCAGAACTCGATGAAGCATCTTTTCAACATAAGACGACTCCGGGCAGGAACATAGGTGTCGACAGCTTCCATCCTGAACCTCAGTATGCAGACGACCTCACCCTCCTCGCTCACACTGAACGCGACCTACGGGAGATCCTGAACACTTACTCAGATGCGTATGCGCACTTCGGCCTTGAGGTGAATGTAGTAAGACTCAGATGCTTTTTCAGCCTGCCCCGGTTCAGCCACACCTCCACCATCCACTTTCAGTGTCTCGGTTCCCACCTGTACACCATCGCGTCATCGATGAAGAGATTCAATATTGGATCAGATGTGCATCGCAAGTCTTTGGCAGACTCCGTACCTGTATCCTCAGCTGTAGGGAGCTGAAAGTATCTACAAAGCTGCACGTATATCGAGCAGTGGTCCTTCCAACCCTGCTATTTGGCAGCGAAACATGGGTCACATACAAGAGGAACCTCAAGGCACTTGAAAACTTTCACCAATGTAGTCTACGTTCTATCCTCCCCAGTATTCTCGCTGACACCAACTGTAGGAACATCGAGGCTACCATTTTCCATGAATAACTACGTTGGACCGGCCATGTTACCAGCATGGACGACAGTAGACTGCCAAAGCAGCTACTTTACAGTCACCTAACGAATAGTAAACGTAATGCTGGCGGGCAACTGAAGAGCTATAAGTAGTCTTAAGACAAACCTGAAAAAGTACCAAATCGACTCCCTCACTTGGGAGACGATCACTCCACACTGTAACTCTTGGAGGAGCACCCACACGAGGTGTCAATACTTTCGAGTTAACCCGACTGCATTCCGAGGCAGACAAGCGCCAACGCCGGAAAGACGCTGCCCCTCTCGCACATGTAACATCTATGGACGACCCTGCCGGTCTCGTATCGGCCTTTCGAGTCACCTCAGAGTTCACCAACGAAGGTGACATCCTTAATAACCCATATCATTGTATCATAGTTGGATGATCGTCATACTCGATTCCGAGTGACATCAAAGCAGTAGTAGCATATGGTTTCACACAAAGTGTTGAAAGATACTTTTTTACCGTGTGTATCTGGGGTATGATGAAGTTTGCGTGTGTATATGTGTGCTTAAAGGGAAAAAATGACCATGAGAAAGCTGAAGCTGCTAACAGGTGTGATCTGGAAAGAAATGTAAGGTGATAAGAGAGCGCATAAGTGAAAGCTGACAATGAAGGGGTGAGACTTAAGGAGACTCGCCAATAGAGACGTCTTTTAAAATGTGTGAATGAGTCTTACTTGTTGCATTTATATAAATATGCATTTTAATTAGGTTTTACGTTCCATTGAATGACCAAATAATCCTGTAAATAAGGACATTATGTTGTCAATGCAAGACTTTTATTCCACTTAGACATGGTAGCAAGGTGGGACAACACACTTGACGTCATTACAAACCGGGCACGAATCATCAGGATGTGGGAGAGTGGAACGGCGTCAATAAATATTGCCCATGTAACAGGTGTTTCCGTCAAGTCCGTCAATAGGTGGATTATACGACGACAGGAGGAAGGTTCTCTTAAAACTAAGCCTCGTAGTGGAAGACCTCCAGTTACCACCTATGAAGAGGTTACCCATATGATGGACACCATGCAGGAGTAACCAAAGTCGTCTGAAGTTCGGGTCATTTGGAATCTGTGGCTACCTTGCCACCCGCGAACTACAAGATTGCGGATCCATTGTTATTTGACTGAAAACAAAAAATCTTTAGTACACAAAAAAGAATAGACTAGGTTTTTGCTCTCCATTATACTGTAGGAGACCCAAGTTTATGGAAAACAGTTATTTTTACGGATGACAAGTCTTCCGTTATCATTTAAATCAGGGGGAAGAAAGTGCTGGAAATCAATAACACTCAGTATAATGCAAAACACATTCAAGGGAAAGTCATATTTCCCTGGGGTCTAGGCTGGTCAAAGTCTATTGAAAATTCCCAGGAGAACATTTACATTCAGGTCTTAGAGGAAGTATTTTTGCTGCCAGATCCTTTCCTCAGCCACACATGCAATGCGGTGAAAGTGGTTCACTCACCACCCAGAAGTGGAAGTCCGCAACTGGCCTAGTAAGGGTTATGATATGAACCCAATTCAAAATTAATGGCCATCATGTGTCGCGAGTGGGATGTGGGTGAAGTTAATTGCCAAACGATTGAAGGAAATGCGCAGGAGGTGTGCCATCATTTACCTCAAGTTAGTCGAATCCCTATCCAGTGAACCACCTCCGTACTATTTCTAAGACGTCGCTGAGTGAAAAAAAAAAAAACACTGTGAATACGGCAAAATTACGAGAGAGAGAAATTTCGTTCTGGACGGTCTCGGAATTAACCTAACCTGCATGAACTGACTTACCCTAATGCGTTGTGGCTGTTGGGAAAAACGCACGATGCAAAATTTCGCTTTCTGGTAAATTTGCTTTGTCTATAATGCGTTGTGGTCGGGGTTTTTTTTTCGCTCAGTCAGCGAATTCGTTCTTATAACCTAACATATCTCGTCCCACTCAGATATGTTAACAGGGTTATAAAAAAAATATGTAACAGAACATTACATTTTGTAGGTTTCTTCATATGCGTACTTAGAAAACATAATTCCGTTTTTTAAGCTCGGGTGATTTTTACAGTCTCTGTTCGCCATCTTCATCATTTCTTTTGGGCAGATATTTCATGGTCATCGGGGGTGGGAGAGGGGAGGATCCGTATTTGCCATCATATTACATATATCCCTAATTTAGTAGGGAATATAAAGGAAAAAATATTAAGGTTATCAATGTGAGAGTTACCTTTCAAAAAAATGGCATAAAACAAAATCTCATAAACAACTATTAAAATGAAAAATATAAAAATGCGTTCCAAGCCTATATCCTATTCTTCTGCCCCAGACCCATTTACATCATAATTTCATGAAATTCAATCAATAATTCATCTAATAAAACAAAATAATGATAATGAAATCACAACAAAAGAAAATATTTTAAATATAACTTTACTACAGTGTTCACTTGCTCGCCCACAAAACGATTCTTAGACATCACTGCATGTGTATAATGTTTCCTCTAATGTCCTCCCGCACTTTTCTGTTATAAAAACAACCATTCCAACCAGACACTAAGATATTTAAAAATAAATACATACAATTAGGTAGCTTATACTGTAGTAAGCTTCGTTCGCTTTAACAGGTAGTGTACAGCCACACCAGAACATACAAAGGTAAAAACGCTAATATTACCCCCAACACCTTTGAAACAAATTACATTAGTTTAGAATTATAAAGTACTGGATATGCAGATACTGTATTCATATATAATTTAACTGTGAAATACGTAGCCTGGTTCAGAAAGTTTTATCATATAATTTTTGTTTGTTGATGTTATAGTATAATTACTAACCTTGTTACTCTCTAAAAGACCTTAGTTGTTGAAGCGCAGTAATAACATAATAACATCAACAAATAGCCTGGTGGTTGTTCTGTTCGAGGGGTCCTGTGTGGCTTGATGCCTGTCAAATTTAAAATGGCCGCGACAACGCAACTCGCTCCAACTCGCTATTAGGCGATAAGCAGAATGTCACAAATTGTTTCACACATCAAGGCAGATAGATTTACGTTGAGCAGATAATAACGTTCTAAAATAATTGAAAAAAGAGGTGAAACTATGGGCTTTTATATTTGCATTTGTTTCAGTTGTTTTCTTTATTTAAAAATTCATGATCATTTATATTTCATTGCGGAGTCGTCTAAGAACCAGTGTGTCAAATGGCGGTGTTTTGGTTTTAGTTTACTACTGGCGAATAGTGACTTTTACAGACAATTCATTTGAAAGAGAAAAAAAAGTGCCTCGTAGATGGCGGCAGTATATTGTTTCCATCATCCAAAGAACATCAGGAGAGTCTTGTCACCCATGCTATTGTTGTTGTTCTTTATGATGGTGTTATTCCCTGATTTTTTAACCATAACTTTAATTTCTACAGACAGATAAGCATCATACTGCTCTTGGGTCGAATGTTACGGTTACCGTTGGTAATGTGGAAGATTAACGCGCACAGAACCATTCAACGGTTCTTCCATGAACGCGGCTGCCAATTTTTAATTCCTGATGCTTACAAATCAAGCGCACGAGCACACGAATCAAACACTGCAGCTCTGCAAATATATCTGTAGCGTAGGAACGGTAATGATGAATGAATACAAGATCGAAAATATACACATTTATATCATATTTCGAGTAGAAATATTAAATTCAAGTCTCGCCCTCCTTCTTGCCTTATTTCTGTGTGTATAACAGGTGTACCGTGTCGTAAAGGTCTTAATACTGCACACATCAGTGAAATGCGATATGAAGTTGTTTGAGAACTAATTTGCCGGGTTTCTTTTTATGAGACCAAAAACAAATAGGGATGATGAGGTCCCTATCACGATGTGCACACCTGTCGTGAACCCTCAATATATTGCAGCCCCATGTCAGGTATATAAGACGAACATTTCATCGCAATCGTCAGCACCACACAGGTTGTCTAGCTAGTGACCACAGCCGTCAACCGGAGAATAACTTTCGCAACTTCTTGAATCAACTTCAGGTGATAGATGCATTTTCTTTAAAACTTGAATTAATCCTTTTTTTTTCAAAGTTAGAGTTAGTTCTTAATATAAATAGGATAACAAAAGTGACGTTCTAAGAGATCTGCTTATGTACTGTACTTTGAGGAAATCCTGAAAAACGGGTTGTGTGTTTCATTACCTTTCAGTGGTAATGTACGTCATATAATCTTACTTTTGAAACTGTAAACATCTACCAGAAAAATAATTTCCCACTGGGTGTCTTTTTCGCGAGTGGTCCGGAGTTTGGGTTTTTAGGTTGCCGCGGTAATTTCTGAGATTAGCGTTAACTTTATGATAAATTTTGGGGGGTACTGGGGACCAGGGTGGCCGCCAGACCCTTGTCCTAAAATTACCTTGAACAGCATAGAGCATCTAATTGTTACCCCCTGGCCTACACAACACAACATAAATTCCTCAAATGTAGGCGGCGGCTAATGTTTTTTAATAAAATTTTGAGAAATGACAACACATTTCATGATCTGTTTTACGTCTGTATAAAAATATCATTAATATCGGACATAAAACTTATAGGCCCCACTGGATTTGTTTTCCTTTAAGCATAGCCTCATCTCCAATCTCTTTAATTAATTAGTTTTATGTCTGCAACAACGAAGGTCTTACCGCAAATTCTGTAAGTGTGTCCAGCCACATAGCTTAGTTTGTAGTTAATGGCGCGTCTATAAAGATATTTTGTACATTATCATCCAGTATGTAATGAAAAAACATCGTTTTACGTAACATGTACGAGCAGATTCGAAAATGCACTTAATAACATCTTTTGTGTATTAATCTTTTTGGAAAGGGGGAGCAAGATGATACGAGTACTGACAAAATACGTCGATGTTTTCAGCCTGGCAAAAGCATGAGAGGAGTGACACCGGTCACCAAAGGTTCAGATGAATATATTTCAACATTGTTTATTGACTTGACTGACAAATAGTAACGTTTGTGAACCACTCAAAGATATTGAAAACTATTTCTAAGAAGTTTGTTTGGTTTCCACCGACGCTACCATAAATCTGGTCGAGTGTCAAAATCAGAACTGTTAATACGATAAAATTACGAAATGATACACCAGAACTCAAGAGCTGTGTAATTAATGTATGATATAAATTCAGTTGTCGAAGCTCCTTCCCAAAACCAGCAACATAATACAAGTTACATTAAATGTCTACATAGGCCATCTTTCCATAATATGCGGTTCTTAAAGTTTTTGTTTTCCAGTATAACCACATTAAGTTAACTAGGAATATATTGTATTAAACTCGTAAAACGTTTGTGGAGTTCTCGGTATGTATGAATTGAATAAATTGTCTCACACCTGTATTTCTTATCTGCTTGTTTACATTAGACTCTATGATTAAAATTTGCATATCTTATTCCCGATTTACCAGCGATAAAATAAAACTTAGATGAGTCATTCAAGCTGCATATATTCTCTTATCATATAATTTCTAAACAAAACCTGCTACATATTCAGGATATTTCTTTTGGTTTACTCTCAGGAGCACCCAACATGAGCAAGATGAGGGTGGTGTGGGCGTGCTTGTGGACGGTGGTACTTGGCGTGTGTGCCACCACAGCCACCCAGTTCCAGAAGGAGACTGACGTGGTAAGTAGATGTAGCTTCAAAAGTTCTTTATATCCATCATCCAAGTATTCCATAATTTCATTTATTCTATTAGTGTTTTTTTTCACTTATACTGATATTTTATATTACATTTGTACCTACAGGAAGGTGTCAACAAGGCCCAAGAGTTCCGGCAGGACGCTCGACTGGACGAGAAAGACCAAGAGTTGCAAGAGAAAGACGAGAGTCTGCTACAACAAATTCATCCAGTTGATAGTTTTATGACGGGGTAAGATGTTGTATCTGTTATTTACACTTGTTATCCTTGAATAATTATAAGAGCCTATTATAAGACTTGGATCTGGCGTAATAATGTACAAGGATAAGAAAAATGTTTTGACTTTTATGTTGCTTTGTAATATTGTAAGAAATATTATCTAAGCTCTTAGTAGCATCACCACAAACACCACACTAAAGTGACTAAACGAAGGTTTGTTGAAACTTGACATCAAAGAAATACGAAGCAGGAACTGATAATTATGATGTACAAAGTTACAATACGTTCACTTGTCACGAGATAACAAAGATGAAAAAAAAAGAAACTAGGAACGCCTGAGATATCAATAACAACAAATTGCAAATTGTCTAATCGGCATTACTTTTAATTTTCATTCACTTGTTTTGAGAGAACTAACCTAACATTACAGTAGATCCTCATTAAAAGTTTATTGTTGCAAGATTAAGAAAATGGCAATTATATATGGACAAGGACTACCTTCAGCCAACCCTTTAAGAAGTTGTGTCACACTTAGAAATTTTATTCTCGTTAATAACAGACGATTTTATTAAGCTGAGAGAAACCCCTGTCACCTAGTGTGTTAATCTTCTGGTCTTGGCAGATCCAAGAATGATGCTGCAAGTTCCAGGATATCAGTGGCCTCAAATCTGAGGTAAGTGAGCGTTTGTAACACTCACATATGTTTGCATACTTCACACCACACAATGACATAGTCTGTAAATGTTGAAATATTCAGCTCATAAGAATAATCTTGATAAACATAAGATAGCTGATCATAAATGTGGGCGTGCTTCACTCACTTGAAATGATGGTCTCCAGGTCTTGATCACAATTCTTAATGTAGAGAATAATTGTCCGTCTCTGTGGTGACATGACCTGTGTGTGAGGAGGTAATGTTGTGCTTCAGGCCCGTGGACTGTGCCGACTATCTGATGAGCGGCGCCAACACCAGCGGTGTTTACGAGATCTACCCTTTTACGTGAGTACCGTCAGCGTGTCGCTGGTCAGGTAAGATCTCTCATCTGCGACACGTAGCAAACAGATAATGCACTGACATCACCTGATAAGGTGCGTACTAGTGAATAGGTCGCTAACCAAGTGAGTGTCATTACTAAGTCTTCCCATTCTGGTGACGACCGTCACTTCTGTTCATCACATGGCAAAACCAAGTAGTTGTATTATTGTCTGCACGTAGAGATGTCAACCGTGTTCTACTACCATAGTTGCACGTGCAAGTGACAGCACATGGTGATGATTACACGTGTTCCACTGCCACAGGTGCGCGTGCAGCAGTCCGGTGCAAGTGTGGTGTGACATGGAGACGGACGGAGGCGGGTGGACGGTGTTCTTGAGTCGTCAGAGGCAAAGTCCTCAAGAGAACTTCAACCGTTCCTGGGTCGATTACAAGAACGGCTTTGGCAACGTCTCAGGCGAATACTGGCTCGGTGGGTCTCTGTTGTCCCTCTACTTCACTAAAAATATATAATACCTGTCAAGGAGATTCAATATAAATAGTTACATCGTCTGGATGTTGTTATTAATCTGTATGTACAATTCTTCTGTATCAAAGAGTTGCCTTCACATTACAGGGAACGAAATACTGCACAAATTAACAGCCAGTAGAGACTACTCACTGCGTCTTGATATGGACTATCAGTCCGGTGCTCTCCACTACTTCACATATGCTTCCTTCAGTGTTGCTAACGAAGCATCCAGGTAAGTTGAGGAGACCTTTGGTAGCATAACACCCTCACTATTATACTCATAAACATTTTATATTTTTTATATAACTATATGCACATATAATTCATTATTATGGGGATATACTTTCGCTAATGTTATCTGCAAATGTGAGTCATTACATGTTAATCACATGTACAGTATTTGGTTCTACATGTAAGGGTGGTTTCGAGACAAAACGGCCCCAATCGAAAACGGACCAAACCAGAACTGCCCTAACCGGTTACCAAAACGGCCGAACTCTAACCTAACCTAACCTAACCTAACTAAAACTGAGCATAAAAGCAGCCATGTTGACAGTCTGAGTTGGCTGGGTAACTAACGAGAAGTGGCAACTGTTTGTTTGGTCCAATGTTTACATCGTTTACATTTGACAGTTGCCACTTCTGGTTAGGTTAGAGTTAGGCCGTTTTGGTCACAGGGTGGGGCCGTTTTGGTTAGAGTGGGGCCGTTCTAGTTTGGGACGTTTTCTCCTACTACCGTAAGGGAGAGGGGCTCAGTGTTACCTTCTCCCGGTTATCCGGTTGTGTATCAACTTGTATACGAGTCAAATCAACCTTCAGAACAGTCTCTCCCACTGCCATACGCATCATACAGTGGTAAACTGTTGGTCATTTAAATGATACTTGTACAGGTATCGCTAACCCCGTAACTTTTAATGGACAAAAAAGGTAATTGCTTATAATTTCTCAAAGGCAAGACGAATATAATTAGTTCCTCTTTAACATGACTCACACAGGTCATCTTTCATATAAATCTCAACAAGAGAAAATAATCACAATCTCGTAAAATTAACGCATATTAAAAATATTAGAAACGAAAAAAGGCCTTAGGCTGTGTTTCACCCTTCAAGGTGCTCACGCTGTACTAAATCCTAGTTTGTTTTCTCAGGTACTACTGCTCTCACGTGTTAGGTAGTGAGTCCCAATCTTCCTTATTCCTATTTAAAATTCGCCCTACACTTGAGAACATACGAACATAAGAATGGAGGAAACTGCAGCGGGCCTATTGGCCCATACTGGGCAATCCCATTTATACCCAGCCCCTATTGCTCATATAAGCATCCAACCTATGTTTGAAGCTATCCAGCGTATCCAAGTTAATGATGATATATGTTAACTTTTTCCACTCATCCACTACTCTATTTCCAAACCGATGTTTACCTATTTCGCGCCTAAATCTAAATTTGTCTAATTTAAAACCATTGTTACGAGTTCGCTACTGATTGGATATTTTGAGTACCTTTGTAATGTCCCCTTTGTTTAGCCCTGACTTCCATTTATACACCTCTATCATTTCGCCCCTTGCTCTACGTCTCTCGAGGAAGTGCAAATTAAGATACTTTAACCTGTCTCTGTACTCAAGGTTCCTAATGCCCGGGATTAGTCTTGTCATTCTCCTCTGAATTCTTTCCAAGGATTCTATATCCATTCTGTAATACGGTGACCAGAATTGAACTGTGTAAGCCAAGTGAGGTCTCACAAGCCCAAGATATAGTTTTAGGATGACCTCTCTAGTCTTGTAACTAACACTCCTTTGTATGAACCCAAGTACTTTATTAGCATTGTTTCGAGAAAATACACATTGTTTACTTGGATTAAGATTTCTACTTATTATTACTCCTAAATCTCTCTCGCAGTCGGATTTCTCAATAACATCGTTGTTCATCTGGAATCTGGTTTCCCTGTTTACATCTCCTATACAAAATACTTTACATTTGTCCACATTGAATTTCATCTGCCATTTTTCAGACCATTCGAAAAATTTGTTTAGATCTTCCTGTAGTTTTGCTGAGTCCTCGTCAGATTTAATAACACGTCCTATTTTAGTGTCATCAGCAAATTTACTTATGTTGCTGTCTATGCCGATATCTATGTCGTTTATGTATATAATAAATAATAATGGTCCAAGTATTGAGCCTTGGGAAACTCCACTAGTGACGTTGGTCCAATCGGATTTAGTGCCGTTAATGCTCACTCGCTGTTTCCTGTCCTTTAACCACGGTCTAATCCATTTTAGAATATCACCTTTAATGCCATGAGCCTCTACTTTTCTTATTAATCTTTCGTGGGGAACTCTGTCGAAGGCTTTGCTAAAGTCGAGATATACCACATCATAATTGTGCCCCTCGTCCACTGATTCGTTAACTGATGAAAAGAATGTTAATAGATTAGTTAGACATGAACGCCCGCTTGTGAAGCCATGCTGGGAATCATTGATCAACTTGTGCTTCTCCACGTTATTTCGAATAGAGTTTGAAATGATTGCTTCCAGTAAAATGCCTACAATTGATGTTAGACTGATTGGACGATAGTTAGAGGATAGTGATCTATCTCCCTTCTTGAAAATCTGTATTACATTCCCTATCCTCCAGGATTCTGGTACTACACCTGTTTTTAAGGACATGTTAAACAATTTTGCTAAGGGCGTACTAAGCTCTTCCTTACATTCCTTTAATACTCTGGCAAATATCTCATCAGGACCAGGTGACGTATTAGGCTTTAGTTTGTCTATTTGCTTACTAACATCGTTACTAGTCACTACTATCTCGTTTAATTTGTTTTCTCCACTATCTCTGTATAGAATCGGTACTTCGGGTATCATGTTAAAATTTTCTGTGGTGAAAACTGTTGAAAAATATTTATTCAGATTATTGCTCATTTCTCCATCGTTATCAGTTAGCTAGCTGGTATCTGACTATATTGGTCCAATCTTTTCTCGTGTTTTAGTTTGATACATTTGATAGAATCCCTTGAGGCTTGACTTCGCCTCCCTTGCTATCCTCAGCTCATTATTCCTCTTTGCTTTTCTTATCTCGGTCTTAACCCTACCGGCCAATACCTTATAATAATTTCGGAGGTAAACTTCGCCACGATTTATCCTCCTACCTATAGCCTTCCTTTGACCAATAATGTTCTTTAAGTAATTATTTATCCATTTAAGGTCATTGTTGTTTGATCTGAGTTCTTTGGATGGTATGTTTTGCCTTTGTGCAATAAGTAACTCATTATTTAAATTGTCGTGGAACTCGGCAACCTCAGATCTCGTTATCAGGTCAGTCTCAACCATCAGGTCTCCGGGTAGGGTGAGTTCTCCCTCTGTGGGTACATTGTAGGTCATATCATGTGAGGTCATGTAGTTCACCCCCAAATGTGATACCCCTTCTCTCAACTGCCTCTTCAAACTATCAAAGTTTGCCCTTCTGAAATCTGGGACTTTCATGGAATTTTCCTTACAGCTGCCCTGAAAATCTTACTGGAATCTAATTTTTTTGTGATCGCTGTTTGCAAGTTCGTTCCCTACCTCGACATTACTAATGAGGTTTTCTCTGTTCAACAGAACTAAATCAAGTATATTATTACCCCGGGTGGGTTCAGTTATATTGTTGACTTAGGAAACAGTCCTGGATCCTTTCAAGAAAATCCTCTGATTCTGATTACTTGTAAGGTCAATCCAATCTATTTGGCTAAAGTTAAAGTCGCCTACTATACAGACTTTGCTGTGTATGGAAGCCCTGCGCATTTCATCCCAAATAAGTCGCTCATTAACTCTATCAAGATTGGGAGGTCTATATATTACTCCTGTGATTAATTTTTCCCTACTATCGATTAATTCTATCCAAATTGTTTCTGTATTCCGCTTAGTTTTTATTTCCTTATTTATTTCAAACTTCAGATTATCCCTGACAGAGATTGCTACTCTGCCTCCTTTCCTAATCTGCCTATCTGTATGGAATAATTTGTAACCTGCAGTTTGGTATTCGACAGGTAACTCACGTGAGTCTAGGTTTATCCATGTTTCAGTGAATGCTAGTATATCGATTTTTTCGGTACATACCAAGGCCGTAATATCATCCATTTTGTTTCGCATACTTCTACTGTTTGCATAGTAGACTTTTAAGTTAGTCGTGTTCTGAGTCCTCTCTTTGTCGCGTTTAGGTTTTAACTCCCTGTCTAATTTAGTTTTGTCATCATTCCTAACACCCTTTCCCTGTAACCTTTCACTTTGTTTACCCGCTCCCACTGCAGTCTCTTCCACTCCCGTGCTCATATGTTCCCCTAGCAGTTTAAGGACTTTGATATCTTTTGAACTGCCCTCTCGAGAGATCCAGCCAGGGTTGCCACCCCATCCCTAGACAGGTGCACCCCATCCCTAGCATAAAAGTCCCTTCTGTCGTAGAAGTTGTCCCAGTTGTCAATGAATGGGACTGATATTGACTGCAATATCTGTCAAGACGGCCGTTGACACCAACTGCCCTTGACAACCATTCATTGCCAACTCTCCTTCTAGGCAGGACACCACATTTGATAGGGATCCCTCCCTTAGTCCTAATACGATCTATGGCTGCCTTGAACTTCTCAAGAAGCTCCTCACTCCTACACCTGCCAATATCATTGCCTCCTACACTGAGGCAGATAATGGGTTGTTCCCATTACCAGATAAGATATTGTCCATCCTGTCAACTATATCCCCCATCCCAGCGCCTGGCAAACACACCCTCATCCTATTTTTATTTTTACCACAAAAAACTCTGTCCAAGTACTGTACCTGCGAGTCGCCAACAATTAAAGTTTTCCTACCTTTTTATCAGTCCTGTCCCTGACTATACTAACGTCCAATTCATCTATCTAAGGACTGAAAGAATTGGTACACTTAGCTGTTGTTGACGTATCCTTGGTGGGTTTTTTACTACCCGGGTGCATTTTTTCACCACCAGCTTGGTCGTCCCTCTCCTCACAACCTTCCATTCGCCTGATTTTTCGTCAGACACCGGTTTTCTTGTCTCGTTTCTTCCTTCATCCTCGCCATCTCTTCTTTTAATTTCAAGATTTCTTCCTTGGCCCTCTCTAACTCGGCCCACAAAAGGGCACAACCCTGTTTACAAGTAGCACTAGCCATTACTTTTTATCCCCTTCTCGCCATTCACAGCATTCAGTAAATTCTTTTCCTTATTATCACATCAAATTTTTCGTGAGATGTCGGTTGAAATTCAAACCATCATCCTAAATCTGTTTTAGGGCCAATTGCAAGAACTGCCGTGGTGTACAACACGCTGTGGTAGAAATAGTATCCAATTGCCACTACCGCTGGTCAACAATGTTCTGTTGAAACAATACACATATGAATATATTCCATTATTTAATTTTAGCCTTTGCCCTTCTTACCCGAACAACTCCCTTCCTCTGATCTTTTTCCTTGTACATTACTTGCACTTCGTATTGTTTATGAATTATAAGTCTTCCTTCCTACTAAGCAAGCTTGCAGCTTTGTTTGATTATCGTGCTTAATGGTGACTGCATCATCATGTGTGTCGCTGCTGTCTTGTACTTCTGGCATTGTGTATTACTGGAAAAGTATGGTCAATATTATGAGGTCCATATAGTTCAGAAAGACAAGTGTTTGTAGTTTATGTTCCCCTGCACATGTATTAATGATTTTATGATATAGATACAAGTTGTACATGGCTTACTGCTACAAATACAGAGATTACTCTTACGTAATGTACTTGTTTCACTTTTACAGATACAGAGTGACAAGGACCGGCAGCTCATCAGGAACTGTGTCCAGCCACTGCTTCTACTCCGGAAGTTCATCCTTCACTACCTATGACCGCGACTACGACTCCTATAGCGGTATGTTAGCAACTTTTGTTACTTTAATATCTTCCATATAATATTGTACCGAGAAAGACGCTTCACAAGATACTAAAGGTAGACTTGTGTGATCACTCGATGCAGAGTAGAGACTGTTTAAACTGTAAGATGGAGGTTATATTGGTTTAGATCTTATATCGTAAATCTGGGAATAATATTTAAGTTGCGTTCTCAAGTTGATTCAAATTAACTTAAGCATACAATTACAATCAGCGAGGAAATGATAACTGAATAAACTAGGAGATGTAAATGTAGAACAGAAAATTTGATTTACACAAAAGCATCTCAATAAATTCAGTTCATTCAAGACATGGTAGACTACATGGTCGAGCAAGAGCATAACGACCAACGAGTGCCTGCATCTTACACCCAGAGTTCAATGGTTGATACCAATTATATTGTTTTGAAAATCTGAAGAATTTTTTCTGGATCAACATAATCATGTGTTGTAAAATTACTGAGATTTTGTGTATGATGGCGCGGTGACGATAATTTTACGTACGTTTATGATCTTTAATACTAAAGTGATCATTCGTACGTTTCTACGGAAGACAGACAGATGAATGATTTACACAGTGATGAGAAATAAGAAAATAGATTCTTACTTTATCATAATATATTCACACATAAATATCCAAGTTATAAACAGTTTTCCCAGACGTCCTGTACCGTCCACGCGGAGATGGTTGAAGCTTTCTAAGTCATATTCACCAAACGAATAAAGAGCCGAGGACTGTGTTTTTTTTATTAATGAGATTTTTGAGTTACCAGTGATTATCCAGCCCCTCATCAAGTATAGGTCCAGTTAAGTAGTGTGTAGTCAGACTGATGTATTAATCTCATGGACAGGTAACTGTGCGTCTGTAAAGGGTGGAGGTTGGTGGTACTATAACTGCCGCTACAACAATCCCACCTCGCCCTACAACCAGGGCCTCAACTACACCTGCTACTACAACAGTGTGGTGAGGGTCTCCAAGCTACAGCTCAAGATACGACCAGCAATCTGCGACTCTCCCATCAAGACCATCAATGCCAACTCCTATAACTGTGGTGGATGTGAATAGAGCAAACAGGGTACGACCTGACCTGACCTGACCTGAGGACTCGGATATATGGCTAAGACCAAGACCCACAGCCTCACACAACAACAACTGTCAACACGCCATCCTAGACTGGTGGCACGGATGGTGTGATACACTTACTTGTGTCTTGTTCTTTACTACCATAGATGTAGTACATAACTTATGGCAACATGATCCTATATATTTGTTATGGTATAAAGCACATAGGAGTTTTATATCTAATGGAAGAAACATTAAACTAAACGAAGAAATTATACACTGAGTACGTCATTAAATATGACTGGAGAACACTTCAGGAACCAGAATAGAACATCGCACTATTGTACGACTACTGGAGTGTAATGGTGATTTGTCATAATATCTAACAAATATATATATATATATATATATATATATATATATATATATATATATATATATATATATATATATATATATATATATATATATATATATATATATATATATATATATATATGCAAATAAATCACTGGCAGGTGCATGTAGTCTGGGTATGCACAGTAGCCACAGGAAGAGAAAACACGGGTTCCCCAAGCACTTTCGTGAATTCACGTCTTCAGGGGTGAGAACAGACTGAGTCTGTACTCACCTGAAATGTGATTACAGCACCAAAAACTTTCTTCTTTCCTTATATATATATATATATATATATATATATATATATATATATATATATATATATATATATATATATATATATATATATATATATATATATATATATATATATATATATATATATATATGTTTATATATATTCTGAGTGTCGGATAAAGACTTGTGGTATAGTGTTTGTAAATGATGAGAACATAAACATGTTGATACCCACCATCTGTGCTGTCCCACACCCATCAACAACACTGTACAACCTATCTTGTCCCAACTTTAACACCAACGTTATAACAACCACAGTTCAGGTTACATGAGACACATGTGTAATTACTTGTAAACCTGATGTTATAGCAACACCAACCGTGCTATACAAATGTCTTACAGCAACACCACCAGTACTATATAAATGTCTTACAGCAACACCACCAGTACTATATAAATGTCTTACAGCAACACCACCAGTACTATACAAATGTCTTACAGCAACACCACCAGTACTATATAAATGTCTTACAGCAACACCACCAGTACTATATAAATGTCTTACAGCAACACCACCAGTACTATACAAATGTCTTACAGCAACACCACCAGTACTATATAAATGTCTTACAGCAACACCACCAGCACTATATAAATGTCTTACAGCAATACCACCAGTACTATAAACCTTCAGTACATATTTAAGCACAATAAATCAACTTTACCTCAGTCACTGGTAAACAAAGCTGCGTGTTAAATAATTATACTGAATATAATTTACTCCAGCTTTTTGTTTATTTAATTGAACCTTTGTTATGTAGGCCAGAGTCTGTTTAGCGCCAGTGGGCTCCATTACATATAGTGCCAGTGAACTCCATTATATATAGTGCCAGTGAGCTCTATCATACAGTGCCAGTGAGCTCCATTATATATAGTGCCAGTGAGCTCCATTTTATATAGTGCCAGTGAGCTCTATCATACAGTGCCAGTGAGCTCTATCATACAGTGCCAGTGAGTACCATTAAACATAGTGCCAGTGAGCCCTATCATACAGTGCCAGTGAGCTCTATCATACAGTGCCAGTGAGCTCCATTATATATATAGTGCCAGTGAACTCTATCGTACAGTGCCAGTCAGCTCTATCATACAGTGCCAGTCAGCTCCATTATATAAAGTGCCAGTGAGCTCTATCATACAGTGCCATTGAGCTCCATTATATATAGTGACAGTGAGTTATATTATATAGTGCCAGTGAGCTCCAGTATATATAGCTCCAGTGAGCTCTATCATACAGTGCCAGTGAGTACCACTAAACATAGTGCCAGATAGCTCCATTATACATTGTGCCAGTGAGCTCCGTGATACACAGTGATACATAGTGCCAATGAGTTGCATCATAAAGTGCCAGTGAGTTATATTATATAGTGTCAGTGAGCTCCATCAAACAGTGCCAGTGAGCTGTTATATAGTGCCAGTGAGCTGTTATATAGTGCCAGTGAGCTGTTATATAGTGCCAGTGAGCTGTTATATAGTGCCAGTAAGCTGTTATATAGTGCCAGTAAGCTGTTATATAGTGCCAGTGAGCTGTTATATAGTGGCAGTGAGCTTTTATATAGTGCCAGCGAGCTGTTATATAGTGCCAGTGAGCTGCTATATATTGCCAGTGAGCTGTTATATAATTCCAGTGAGCTGATATATAGTGCCTGTGAGCGGTTATATAGTGCCAGTGAGCTGTTATATAATGCCAGTAAGCTGTTATATAGTGCCAGTGAGCTGTTATATAGTGCCCAGTAAGCTGTTATATAGTGCCAGTGAGCTGTTATATATAGTGCTAGTGAGCTGTATATAGTGCCAGTGAGCTGTTATATAGTGCCAGTGAGCTGTTATATAGTGCCAGTGAGCTGTTATATAGTGCCAGTAAGCTGTTATATAGTGCCAGTGAGCTATTATAGTGTGCCAGTGAGCTGTTATATAGTGCCAGTAAGCTGTTATATAGTGCTAGTGAGCTGTTATATAGTGCCAGTGAGCTGTTATATAGTGCCAGTAAGCTGTTATATAGTGCCAGTAAGCTGTTATATAGTGCCAGTAAGCTGTTATATAGTGCCAGTGAGCTGTTATATAGTGCCAGTGAGCTGTTATATAGTGCCAGTAAGCTATTATATAGTGCCAGTAAGCTGTTATATAGTGCCAGTGAGCTGTTATATAGTGCCAATGAGCTGTTATATAGTGCCAGTAAGTTGTTGTATAGTGCCAGTGAGCTGTTATAGTGTGCCAGAGCTGTTATATAGTGCCAGTAAGCTGTTGTATAGTGCCAGTGAGCTGTTATATAGTGCCATGAGCTGTTATATAGTGCCAGTAAGCTGTTGTATAGTGCCAGTGTTTATATAGTGACAGAGCTGTTATATAGTACAGTAAGCTATTATATAGTGCCAATGAGCTGTTATAGTGCCAGTAAGCTGTTATGAGGTGCCAGTAAGCTGTTATATATGCCAGTGAGCTGTTTTATAGTGCTAGTGAGCTGTTATATAGTGCCAGTGAGCTGTTATATAGTACCAGTGAGCTGTTATATAGTGCCAGTAAGCTGTTATATATGCCAGTGATTCATTATAGTGTGCCAGTGAGCTGTTATATAGTGCCAGTGAGGCTGCTGTTATATAGTGCCAGTGAGCTGGGTTATATATGCTAGTGAGCGTTATATGTGCCAGTGAGTTGTTATGTATAGTGCCAAAGGAGCTGTTATATAGTTGTTGTTATATAGTGCCAGTAGGCTGTTGCAGTTGGTGAGCTGTTATATAGTGCCAGTAAGTTGTTATAGTGCCAGTGAGCTGTTATATAGTGCCAGTAAGCTGTTATATAGTGCCAGTGAGCTGTTATATAGTGCCAGTAAGCTGTTATATAGTGCCAGTAAGCTGTTATATAGTGCCAGTGAGCTATTACAGTGTGCCAGTAAGCTGTTATATAGTGCCAGTAAGCTGTTATATAGTGCCAGTAAGCTGTTATATAGTACTAGTGAGCTGTTATATAGTGCCAGTAAGCTGTTATATAGTGCCAGTGAGCTGTTATATAGTGCCAGTGAGCTGTTATATAGTGCCAGTGAGCTGTTATATAGTGCCAGTGAGCTGTTATATAGTGCTACTGTTGTTATATAGTGCCAGCGAGCTGTTATATAGTGCCAGTGAGCTGTTATATAGTGCCAGTAAGCTGTTATATAGTGCCAGTAAGCTGTTATATAGTGCCAGTGAGCTGTTATATAGTGCCAGTGAGCTGTTATATAGTGCCAGTGAGCTGTTATATAGTGCCAGAAAGCTGTTATATAGTGCCAGTGAGCTGTTATATAGTGCTAGTGTGAGCTGTTATATAGTGCCAGTAAGCTGTTATATAGTGCCAGTAAGCTGTTATATAGTGCCAGTGAGTGCCAGTGAGCTGTTATATAGTGCCAGTAAGCTGTTATATAGTGCCAGTGAGCTGTTATATAGTGCCAGTGAGCTGTTATAGTGCCAGTGAGCTGTTATATAGTACTAGTGAGCTGTTATATAGTGCCAGTGAGTTGTTATATAGTGCCAGTGAGCTGTTATATAGTGCCAGAAAGCTGTTTTATAGTGCCAGTGAGCTATTATATAGTGCCAGTGAGCTGTTATATAGTGCCATTGAGCTGTTATATAGTGCCAGTGAGCTGTTATATAGTGCCAGTGAGCTGTTATATAGTGCCAGAGAGCTGTTATATAGTGCCAGTGAGCTGTTATATAGTGCCAGTGTGCCCTGTTATACAGTATCTGTGAGTTCCATCGTACAGAGGAAGTGAGCTCCACCATACAGTGCTAGTGACCTCTGTCATACACAGTACCAGTTACACCACGCCATTCTTTGGACACATCACCAGTGTTCGCACTTCCGTGTGAGCTTGAGTATATATTAATTGCGTATGATTAAATTATTGAATTAAGAGCTGTATTCACTGACGTATATGGACACATTTTCTTGTATGTGCGTGTGCAAGTATGTGGTGTTATCATATAAAGATTTTATTTTTGTTTTCAATAGTGTGTATGAACCTAAGAATGCATGACGATTAATGTGGTGCAATTGTGTGTGTGGTGTACGACGACCAGCACATTCATGCCCACGTCCAGTAATATGACTATGAGTATTCCCGATTGCCTTAAATCCTTTGTCGGCACTTGATATATGTGTGATGTCATGGCCAGGTGTGTCCCTGTGTGTTGTCATGGCCAGGTGTGTCCCTGTGTGTTGTCTTGGCCAGGTGTGTCCCTGTGTGTTGTCATGGCCAGGTGTGTCCTTGTGTGTTGTCTTGGCCAGGTATGTCCCTATGTGTTGTCATGGCCAGGTGTGTCCTTGTGTGTTGTCTTGGCCAGGTGTGTCCTTGTGTGTTGTCTTGGCCAGGTGTGTCCTTGTGTGTTGTCTTGGCCAGTGTGTCATGTGTGTTGTCTTGGCCAGTGTGTGTCCTTGTGTGTGTTGTCTTGGCCAGGTGTGTCATGTGTGTTGTCTTGGCCAGGTGTGTCCTGTGTGTTGTCATGGCCAGGTGTGTCCCTGTGTGTTGTCTTGGCCAGGTGTGTCCCTGTGTGTTGTCATGGCCAGGTGTGTCCTGTGTTGTCTTGGCCAGGTGTGTCCTGTGTGTTGTCTTGGCCAGGTGTGTCCTTGTGTGTTGTCTTGGCCAGGTGTGTCCCTGTGTGTTGTCATGGCCAGGTGTGTCCCTGTGTGTTGTCTTGGCCAGGCGTGACTGTGTGCCATTGTGTGTTGTGAGGCAACTGCAAGACATTTAAGCATTATTTTATAATCAGAAGCTGCAAATGTGTTCTAATAATAATTAATATAAATTTCTTAACATGGGAGGTCAAAAAATGTCATAGACTTAAGAAATGTCATAGACTTCCCCCACGCACCTCGAAGGGTTTTAACTATAAGAACATACGTATCTGGTTTCATGAAAATCTTCGGACTTATCACATTGGCAATATATTTCTACAGAAGAACACAGAGATCGACTCACAGACACCAACACGACGGTAAACGCATTCTCCTCTCACCGATTTGACAGGAAGATACGGTGTGTGAGAGGCTCGACCAATAGCGGGATCCTGTCATCCGAAATATTGTATCGACCTTCGATAATGGGCACCTCTTCCTCTTTAACGACTTTACAGATACTTACCTCCAAGTACCCAGAGGTCCTCAACCCTTAAACACCAAGATAAACACTTAAGGTCCCTTCCAATATCCCAAGTCCTTCAACCACCATTCAAACCCAACTGATCATTAAAGCACATATCTACAGTAATCATCCACCCAAGTGGCCCAGCTCCCTCAATCATCCATCAAATTCATCCAGCTCTCTCAATCATCCACCCAACTCACCCAGATCCCTCAATCATCCACCCACCTCCCTCAGCCATCCATCTAACTCCCCCCCTCACCTCCCTTAATCACCCTTGCTAAACACCCAGGGACCCTCAAACTCCCATACAATACCCCTAATAGACACCACAGTTCCCTTAATCACTGCTCCTAAACCTCAAGGTTATCACGCACCCAGCGACACCCTGTGACACAGTAAAGATCAGAAATTTGTACTAATTCAGAAAAATAAACATTGCTGGAACTGACTAACACCGTGAAGCATAAGCACGAATAGGAATTAGAAAACTACATGGATTTATCACCTTATTAACACACACACACACACACACACACATATATATATATATATATATATATATATATATATATATATATATATATATATATATATATATATATATATATATATATATATATATATATATATATATATATATATATATATATATATATATATATATATATATATATATATATATATATATATATATATATACATGATTTATATATATATATATATATATATATATATATATATATATATATATATATATATATATATATATATATTTATATATAAATATATATATCATGTAGACCCAAAATGAAAAAGTGGACAAGGTAAATCTCGATAAACCACACAGGAAAAGGGAAACAACGGAGCACCTCAGCTTTCGTCTTTATTCAAGACGAAGTGTTTATTGTATTCCATGTAGCAAATGTAATTGTAATTATGTAGGACAGACAGGAAAAACACTGCAGCTCAGAATCAAACAACATAAGTATAATATCAGAACTGCACCTGAAAGCAGTGCCTTGTTCGTTCATGTTAGGAATAATAATCACCCCATTGCTTGGGAAAAAGCTTAGAAGTATTTAAATCATCTTGTGTCACAGAAAGACTTCTGGTTGAAGCTAGTTTGATTAAGGAATTAAAATCAATAAACCTTAGTAATGGTCAGTTCAAAACTGATAATATGTTACATAAATTTATTTATCAGTGGCCTAAGGATAAAAATGCTTTGAACACCTTTGATCTAGATGTATGATAGTTATTTTGTGGGTCCCTTATTTTTGACCTGACCTGACTGTCACGTCACCCCGTTCTCTTAAGCTCCTGTACGTGTGTGTTGGTGTGGGGATTAGTGGATGACATCATTATGACCTGATCTCATGTTTTTAAGGTCACCCTGTATATTTAAGCCTCTCTCTGTCCATGTAATCCAGTTGCCTCTGAAGATGTCTTGAATAAAGACGAAAGCTAAGGTGGTCCGTTGTTTCCATTTTCCTGTATGATTTTATCAAGATTTATCTTATCCACGTTTTCATTGTGGATTTACATGAAATATATATATATATATATATATATATATATATATATATATATATATATATATATATATATATATGGTTAGGGAGGTGACGGAGGTTGGTGGTGGTGGTGGTGGTGATGAGAGAGGTGACGCAGGTTGGTGGTGGTGGTGAGAGGTGACGCAGGGTGGTGGTGGTGGTGACGGCGGTGACGGAGGTTGATGGTGGTGAGGGTGGTGATGGGGGTTGGTGAAGGTGGTGATGGAGGTTGTTGGTGGTGGTGAGAGAGATGACGGATAGCGGGTGCATCAGTACTGCCTCAGGACGTCCCTGGTCATTTGTCCTCACTTGCTATGTTCGCCCAAAGCAGTGCTTTTGTTCCTTTGAAGTCGTGATTTATTCTCTGAATCATAAGACCTTGATGTACAGCACGACCGATTCAGGGATAATGAAAATAACATTAAAATGTCAGATGAATATGATAATCAAGATTTTCTTAACTGTTTGATCTTCCCAATGACGCGCCACCTCTCTCACCACCACCAACCTGCGTCACCTATATGCTACGACGACTTAGGTCACTTGGGACACCCACGCCAGAGCTGAGGACCATCTACAACTCCTTTAAATTCCCCAAACTTAGGTATGCGTCACCAGCCTGGTCGTCTTCTCTCAACTCCACCCAACAACATCAGCAAGAGAAGATACAGAAAAGGGCCTGCAGAATCATGCTCGGCGCAGAATACTCCGGCTATACCAACGCTCTCTCCACCCTGGAAATGCCATCCCTCAGTGACCTCCACCACCAAGCACTGGAAAGGTTTGGCAGCCAACTAATGCACCACCCTCGTCATCGCCACCTCCTGCCATCGGCAGCCCCCCACCCACCTCGCGCAATCCGGCACTACAACAAAATTCAGCCCATAAGAGCCCGCACCGATAGATATAAGAATAGCACCATCCCATCCTTTGTTAAAATAATAAACAACTCTTGATTTATGTACTGTACAGCCCTGTAAATATATTCAATGCATATTATATCATTATGTCTAAATCAAATGTAAGGCTGTAAATTTTCAGCCACCGGCTGCAACTCTATTAATAAACCGTTTATTATTATTATTATTATAATTTATTATTACCACCACCACCAACCTGCGTCACCTCTCACCACCACCACAAACCTGCGTCACCTTTCTCACCACCACCACCAACCTGCGCCACCTCTGTCACCACCACCAACCTGCGACACCTCTCAACTCCACCATAACCTGCATCACCTCTCGTACCACCACGACCAACTTGCGTCACCTCTTACCACAACCACCAACCTGCGTCACCTCTCACCACCACCACCAACTTGTGTCACCTCTCACCACCAACCTGCATGAGTCAGCGACGGAGAACGTCTTTGTGTAAGACTAGAGTACGACTGACAGAGCCGGGAAATTTGGGGCAGAGGTGTTTTGAAGTGCATAAACCTAACACCAGGGACTTTCATATCCTGAGGTCAGGTAGACCTATTTTATGTCGCTTGTTAACTATTGTGTGTGGTGGTAAGTAATTGTCAGCCGGCTCAAGATAACTGAGGGTGGAACTGGAATCAATATGTACAATAGTGACATCCTTGTGGGTTGATCTCGTCACAGTGGAATTAGGTAAATCAAATAATTTGTATAGCTATCCGCACGACTACACTCGTTGTCACTGGGATACATAGAGTTATTTTGTATTCTACTTAAATGTTACTTATACTCAAATTGTATTTTTTTTCTTAGCACAGTGTAACACATCCCTCGCTCGCTGGCTACCAGCGTGGAAATCTCTAGAAGTTCCGGCGCGACAAAGAGGCGTCAGTCAACTCCTCCCACTGTCTCCCTCGCTTCAACATGTTTCCAGAACACCAGCTGACGCCATCGAACTGGAGCGTGACATCACACCTTTCTCTGGATCACTTCTACACTTCATCACTCGACTCCACAATTCCAGCTCAACTTGTCAACCTGTGGTAGTTCCTCTCCAGCGCTATCTCCAGTCTCATCACGGCCCAGTTAACTTACGCTAAGTCACCTAAATGTATTTTTTCTTAGGTCAAGAAACGTGCTAGCCTTAAATACGACTTAGTGTAACAATTATGTGTCCTACCCATGTACTTTTCCAGTGATAATTTATACTAGAACACGACACTTTCCTTGGCCAGTGATCTTACTGTTACATGCGTTACTTAGAATGAAGGCCATCACATATCAGCTTGAATTACAGCGTATTTTGGGCTGTCCAGCAAAATTCCAACCGTCGCAACACGCAAAAGCTTCAGGATAGCAACATACCCGCCAAATTCAAATATTATTCAATCCTCCATTATTACATATGCATTTGTCTTGAGGCGAGGCCAGTATTACCACAGGGGCTGCACTAACATAGGCTTCAATCTTCTTGCCCCGAGGATGATTTCGGTAAGTTTGGTGAAAAGGGCAAGTCGGACAACGAACGACGGTCTATGTTATGATAAATTTACCTGGTCCCTCGGCCCAGGTGAGCTGCCAATAATATTAATAACAATAGTAAATCCCTCAATGTGTTCTTACTTAAGGAAAGCCTCCCACTGCTACTGAATGTTATCCTCCCTAATCCTGCTGGACACCTTCACACCTCTACTGTAAGGTGAACATTTCACGTACAAGTGTAGTATTGAGGCCACTCGTACAAAGTGAGTTATTAATATCTGCCCAAAGTGAATATATACTATTAGCAACATTAGTGAACACGTTGAATGGGTAGCTTAAGGGAACAAACAATGAAGCATGGATCACTATGTGTGAATCCCCGCCTAGTGTGACACACGACACGTAAACAAGCGGGAAGTCCTAGTCTGCCTCGGGATTCCCTCGTTACTCCACGAGACCCTGGCAAGAATCAGAGGATGCTGGTCTATATAACGTGCGGCCCACGCCACCTCAGTACCAGTCTGCTCCCACCTACCGCTCCAGCATCCTGCTTCAGCTGCGCCTCAGTTTCGACCCCGTCCATCAGTTCCAAGTCAGTGTCATGGTGGGGTTATTAGGGTTGTGTCTCAGTGTTTACTTATACATCCTGGCCGAGGTGCCTACTGACCATTTCTTGCTCGTAGGGATATAACGAACAATAACGCACTTGTCTCCGTTAACAACCTGGCATTCGGGGATCTTTTTTACATCACCTGATGAGCTAACTTTTCTAAACACATTAAACTAGTTATGATACTTGGTAAGCAGGTGGTTCTTGAAGAGCACTACATCTTCACAACACATGTAGATTACTGTATCATATATTTCAGTACATTTTAACCATAATTAATTTTTTCACAAAACTTAGCGTTTAACTCAATTCATTGTGTTAATCTGAGGTCAACGTGCAAAGATGTGCATCTGTGTTCTACAGATACAACTTTCTAGTTTCATTTTTTTTTGCATTTCTTTTAACTTTCGAAGTAACAACCTGAGTCATGTTTAATGTTAAAAAATAATTTCTTCCCCCAACAGAGAACTTGACATACAGGATGTTTCTGAGAGTGAGCGCGTGGGCGGCAGTAGTGGGTGTGTGGACGACCGTCGCTCTTGCTGCTGTTGTGTTGCCGGAATATGAAAGTGACGTAAGTACGTACACACACACACACACACTAGGGGGAACAATTGATGAGTATCACCTTCGTTAGTGGCTCGAGAGGCATTACCGGATAGGCAAGGACGCCACAGATGTTGCCTGTATTAAGTCAATCAACCTCGAAGGTTTTACAGCCTCTTGTGCGGCACTTCTCCAAGTATCACGGTTCGGTCTTATGGTCTCCCATGTGGCAGTGTCTAATAATACTATTTAAAGTTATTTATACATAGGTTATGACACACATCTAAATCAAATAATAGCGAGGATACACGGTAACTTTTTTCTTGCCCATACGCTGCTCTCGCCACTGTCAGCGAGAGAAGGGGGTTGTGGGTACCTCAGTACGGTTAGTATCTTCCATACAAAAAATTAACCAAAGCTTACCAATTATAAAGCTTCAATATATCCTGTACAGGTCTAAAACAATGCCTTTTCATATAAAATTCCCAAAACTAATATTTCTCTATTTACAAATTAGTGAAATTTTTTCATCACAAATCTAGAGCAATAAGTAACTAACTAATTATTATTTTAAAACTATCTAATCTGCCTAAACTGCATTACTTTCATTATGTGACTCTTGGGGATTCCTATAGATTTTCGTCTTCGTTTCCGTTGTAGTTCCGTGGTGCTTCAGTCACTCTGATATATGGCTCAGATATACAGCGGTGAGCCATTTACACTGATGAACGTCAGGTGGCTATACTGGAGACAGTGAAAGATGGGCGATGATCTTTATCAAAGACATAAATGACAGGTGTATGTTGTGTGTCGACTAACATAAGACCCAAGGAGCCTGAGGGAAAAAAAAAATGTTGACGCCAAAACCTGATTCTTTTTATTCTCGAGAAGATAAAACTTTTATCTTATCTTACGACCGAAAATATGATTAACATAACATGCGATAATGACTACGTTAGAACATTTCTAACAACAAATGTTCAGTGTCAACTACAATCAGAATTTTCCTTCTCGTCAATAATAAAACTGCATGTTGTTTGTCTGTGCTGAAGGCGCTGTATAGGAAACCATACTGCCAGTTTACATTAAGACACAACTTGGTATCTCGGTCACCACAACATTTTGTATGTTACAGTCAATATTATTTTGTTTCGCAGTTGTAAGTGACTAAATATACGATATTCTGATCGTCTTTTCTAGAATGGTGAAATGTAAGTTTAAACTGGGAAAGCTTTATGGAGGGGTTCTAGCCCTCGTTGCTCACAACTTGTTAACTAGAGAACCTTCGACTTTGTGTGTTGAACAGGTTATTGTGTTTAAACTATTGAGATGATCAGAAGCGGACAACTGCTGGGCCCAACAGACAGGCAAGCGGAACTGTCACGGCACCGTACAAGTGACAGTCATGTTCATAACGTGATTTTCGAACCGAATGTCAGGAGCTTGAACACTGAACAATTTATGGTTCTACACGTGTCTAATAAGATTATACCACAGCACCTCACACCAGCAAGTATACCGAGTGTGTTGTCTCAGGTCAATTTCCGAACCATCACCGCATGTGCCTAATTAAACGCGCCGCCAAACCTTAAAAAGTTACTAATATAATGTCATAGTCGTAAGCTGCAGACTACCGACCCACCTGACACAACACTTGCACACCACAGCACAAAGAGCACTTGTGTCACCTCAGGAGATAATAGCAACTGTATTTCCTGAAATGTAAATAATAAGCTTATGAGTTCTACCGATGTAAATATAAGTGTATATATTAACTCAGGCGTAAACAACCAATATGTGTTTCCTACGGTGTAAATAATACTGTACATGTGATCCCTAGGCGGTGAGTGAGAGGCAGGAAGGGCTGGACCAGCTGGCATCGTCGCTGTGTGAGCTGATGCCTGACCTGCCGGGCTGCCAAGCTCTCAACGACACCCTCTCCTTTGGTAAGACTCTCAAGCGTTCATGTCCCAGCAGAGCCTCCAAACTTGACCAGAAGTCCCATCAGAGCCTAGCTCCAAACTTGACCAGATATGATATCAGAGCCTCCAAATTGACTAGATATCCAATTAGTTCCCATACATAACCAGTTATCTGATCAGAGCCTCGAAATGTAACCAGCCATCCGACCAGCCCCAAATATTGACAAATTACACTATCAGGACTTGCATTACACACTATTCTGATCGCTTATAAAACATCAACACAGTTATAAATGATCTTTAACACCAGAGGTTTAGCCTAAGACAGTCTGTTCAAGTCTGTCTTTAGCATGACAGAGATTTAGATTCTAACACCTTTACAATCGGTGTTGTGGTAGTCACAATCTGGGTGTGACGGTTCGTGTACAGGGCGACCGGCGGTGTAATGGTCGCCTTTCTCGCCTTGCAAGCGAGCAGACCCGAGTTCGATCCCCGGCAGGGTGAAACTATGGGCAAGTTTCTTTACGTCATTTGCTTCTGTGTACCCAGCAGTAACTGGGAACCTGGATGTTAATCAATTTGCGCATCGTAGTCCAGGGTAATAGTTAGCCAATGCAGTTGGCGAGTTGTCCGGTCTTCTTGGACTATTCCTTGACACTGGGTCATGCAACTCGTTAACTTAGGATGTGGTATTAGTGTTGGCGACAGCTACTACACTTTAAACAAATTCACGCCTATGTGGCCCTAGGGCTGGCCATCCTCGTTACACGAGAGGAAACCATTAAAATTAAAAAAAAATATATTACGCGGGGAGGAGGAACACAGACTGTAGTTGATAGCTCGAGTCCTCTCGCCCGCGTGATGATGCAACACTCTGCCTTTCGCCTCTCCCACGAAGTAGTAGACAGAAGTGTGAATATACACAAAGAGACCACTGGTGTTCATTAGGTGTATACTGTACTGGTGTGTATAGTGAACATGATAATAATCGGTGTACGATTATCACTTTACTATTTCACCACCAGAAGCAGCAGTCAGATCAGTCACAGAATACGAGTACGTGTCACATCATAAACCCGTCATCGGGTACAATAGCTGTACATTTGACTCAGTAAGATTTTAATGAAAATAATCATTTCAGTAATTCGGCAAACTATCTTTCTAAAGCAGTAGGTGGATCACTGGGTAGAAAAAATATATTTATTGAACATTTTACAGTAAAACCTATATTCATTTCTAAGCACAGTGGATGGTTCGCGCGCACGTGCGCGCGCGCGTGTGTGTGTGTGTGTGTGTGTGTGTGTGTTTGTGTGTGTGTGTGATCATCACCTTGTCTTCCCTCTCTTGCAGAAGGCGAAGGTCTTGGTGATGTGAAGGAGAAGCAGCCTGGCAGCCTTCCCTCCCAAGTCCTCTCTTATCTCGCCACCTTACACCACCACAACAAAGGTAGGTGCAGTGGTGTACTCTACCCTACACCAACCACAACAAAGGTAGGTGTAGTGGTGTACTCCACCTTACACCACCACAACACAGGTAGGTGTAGTGGTGTACTCTACCTTACACCACCACAACAAAGGTAGGTGTAGTGGTGTACTCCACCTTACACCACCACAACACAGGTAGGTGTAGTGGTGTACTCCACCTTACACCACCACAACACAGGTAGGTGTAGTGGTGTACCCACCACAACACAGGTAGGTGTAGTGGTGTACTCCACCTTACACCACCACAACACAGGTAGGTGTAGTGGTGTACTCACCTTACACCACCACAACACAGGTAGGTGTAGTGGTGTACTCCACCCTACACCACCACAACACAGGTAGGTGTAGTGGTGTACTCCACCTTACACCACCACAACAAAGGTAGGTGTAGTGGTGTACTCCACCTTACACCACCACAACACAGGTAGGTGTAGTGGTGTACTCCACCTTACACCACCACAACAAAGGTAGGTGTAGTGGTGTACTCCACCTTACACCACCACAACACAGGTAGGTGTAGTGGTGTACTCCACCTTACACCACCACAACACAGGTAGGTGTAGTGGTGTACTCCACCTTACACCACCACAACACAGGTAGGTGTAGTGGTGTACTCCACCTTACACCACCACAACACAGGTAGGTGTAGTGGTGTACTCCACCTTACACCACCACAACAAAGGTAGGTGTAGTGGTGTACTCCACCTTACACCACCACAACACAGGTAGGTGTAGTGGTGTACTCCACCCTACACCACCACAACAAAGGTAGGTGTAGTGGTGTACTCCACCCTACACCACCACAACAAAGGTAGGTGTAGTGGTGTACTCCACCTTACACCACCACAACACAGGTAGGTGTAGTGGTGTACTCCACCTTACACCACCAAAACATAGGTAGGTGTGTAGTGGTGTACTCCACCTTACACCACCAAAACATGGTATGTGTAGTGGTGTACTCCACCACACCACCACAACACAGGTGTAGGTGTGTGTGGTGTGCTCCATACACCCAACAAAGGTAGGTGTGGTGGTGTGCTCACGCCCACCACCACAACTGGTGTAGTGGTGTGCTCCACCTTACACCACCACAACAAAGGTAGGTGTAGTGGTGTCCTCCACCTTACACCACCACAAAAAGGTAAGGTGTGGTGGTGTGCTCACATACACCACACACAACAAAGTGAGTGTGGTGGTGTACTCCACCTTACACCACCACAACAAGGTAGGTGTGGTGGTGTGCTCACCTTACCACCACAACACAGGTAGGGTGTGGTGGTGTGCTCCACCTTACACCACCACAACAAAGGTAGGTGTAGTGGTGTGCTCACCTTACACCACCACAACACAGGTAGGTGTGGTGTGCTCCACCATCACCACACAACACAGGTAGGTGTGGTGGTGTGCTCTGCCTTACACCATCACAACAGGTAGGTGTAGTGGTGTGCTCTACACACCACCACAACACAGGTAGTGTAGTGGTGTGCTCTCACCACCACCCTGGCTGGTAGTGAGTGGTGTGCTCCACCTTACAGCACAGGTAGGTGTGGTGGTGTGCCTCCACCTACACCACCACAACACAGGTGGGTGCAGTGGTGTCTCTGCACACCACCACACTGGTGGATGTGGTGGTGTGCTCCTGCTACACACCACAACACAGGTGGGTGCAGTGGTGTGCTCTACCTTACACCATCACTGGGTGGGTGTGGTGGTGTACTCCACATACACCACCACAACACAGGTAGGTGTGGTGGTGTGCTCCCCCCTATTCCACCACAACAAGGTGGGTGTGGTGGTGTGCTCCATACACCACCACAGCACAGGTGGGTGTGGTGGTGTCTCCACCTACACCACCACAACACAGGTAGGTGTGGTGGTGTGCTCCACCTACACCACCAACACAGGTGGGTGTAGTGGTGTACTCTGCCTACACCACCACCACGCTAGGTAGGTGTGTGGTGTGCTCCTCCTACACCACCACAACACAGGTGAGTGTGGTGTGCTCTGCATACACCACCTGACACAGGTAGGTGTGGTGGTGTGCTCTACACCACCACAACACAGGTAGGTGTGGTGGTGTGCTCTATACACCACCACAGCACAGGTGGGTGTGTGGTGTGCTCCCACACACCACCACACTGGTGGTGTGTGGTGTCTCTGCCACACCACCCAGGTCAGGTGTAGTGGTGTGCTCTGCACCACCACAACACAGGTAGGTGTGGTGGTGTGCTCTCACCACCACCACAACACAGGTAGGTGTGGTGGTGTGCTCCACTACACCACCACAACACAGGATTGGTGTATCTGCTTACACCACCACAACAAAGGTGGGTGTAGTGGTGTCTCCACCTTACACACCACAAAACACAGGTAGGTGTAGTGGTGTGCTCTACTTACACCACCACAACAAGGTAGGTGTGGTGGTGTACTCCACCTACACCACCACAACACAGGTAGGTGTGGTGGTGTACTCCTGCCATACCACCTACACAGGTAGGTGTAGTGGTGTGCTCCTATACACCACCACACAACAAAGGTGGGTGTGGTGGTGTGTACTCACACCACACACAACAAAGTGGGTGTGGTGGTGTGCTCCATCTAACACCCCAACACAGGTAGGTGTGAGTGGTGTGCTCCTTACACCACCACAACACAGGTAGGTTGTGGTGTTCTCTCCACCTTACACCACCACAACACAGGTAGGTGTGGTGGTGCTCCACCACACCACCACACGGGTGGGTGTGGTGGTGTGCTCCTCTTACCACCACTCCCACATTGGTGGGTGTAGTGGTGTGCTCCACCTTCACCACCACAACAAAGGTAGGTGTGGTGGTGTGCTCCATCAACACCATCTGCACAGGTGGGTGTGGTGGGTGTGCTCCACCTTACACCACCACAACACAGGTGGGTGTGAGTGTTCTTCTCCCTGCACAACCACCACTAGCACAGGTGGGTGTGGTGGTGTGCTTCTGCCCACACCATCACAACACAGGTAGGTGTAGTGGTGTGCTCCACCTACACCACCACAACACAGGTGGGTGTAGTGGTGTGCCCCACCTTACACCACCACAACACAGGTAGGTGTGGTGGTTGTGCTCCTCCCACACACACAGCACAGGTAGTAGTGGTGTTCTCCCTACACCACCACAACACAGGTAGGTGTGGTGGTGTGCTCACCACATCACAGCACAGGTAGGTGTGGTGGTGTGCTCCATCTTACACCACAGCACAGGTGGGTGTGGTGGTGTGCTCTGCCTTACACCACAACATGGTGGGTGTAGTGGTGCCTCCTCTCACCACCAACAGCAGGGTAGCAGTGGTGTACTCCATCTTACACCATCCCAACACAGGTAGGTGTAGTGGTGTGCTCCACTCTACACCACCACAACACAGGTAGGTGTGGTGGGTGCTCCATCTTACACCACCACAACACAGGTAGGTGTAGTGGTGTGCTCTACCTTACACCATCAGCTACAGGTGGGTGTAGTGGTGTGCTCACCCTACACCCCACAACATAGGTAGGTGTAGTGGTGTGCTCCATCTTACACCATCCACAACACAGGTAGGGGTGTGGTGGTGTGCTCCACCTTACACCACCACAACACAGGTAGGTGTGGTGGTGTACTCCACTACACCACCCAACACAGGTAGGTGTGGTGGTGTTCCTCCCCTGACCACCACAACACAGGTAGGGTGGTGGTGTGCTTCCACACCACCACAACACAGGTGGGCGTGGTGGTGTGCTCCACCCACACACAACCACAACACAGGTAGGTGTGGTGGTGTACTCTACTGCTGCACGATCACAACACAGGTGGGTGTGGTGGTGTGCTCCTCCTACCACCACCAACACAGGTATGGGTCATTGATTGTGCTCAGCCTTACACCACCACTGCACAGGTGGGTGTGGTGGTGTGCTCACCCTACACCACCACAACACAGGTGGGTGTGGTGGTGTGCTCCATCTTACACCACCACAAAACAGGTGGGTGTGGTGGTGTGCTCCATCTTAACCATCACAACACAGGTAGGTGTGGTGGTGTGCTCACCCTACACCACCACAACACAGGTAGGGTGTGGTGGTGGCACTCTTACACCACCACAACAAAGGTAGGTGGCAGTGGTGTGTCACTTCCACCACAACACAGGTGTGGTGTGGTGTGTGCTCACCCTTACACCACCACAACACAGGTAGGTGTGAGTGGTGTGCTCACCTTACACCACCACAACACAGGTGGGTGTGGTGGTGTGCTCTTACACCACCACAACAAAGGTAGGTGTGTGGTGTGCTCCACCTTACACCACCACAGCACAGGTAGGTGTGGTGGTGTACTCTACTATACACCACCACGCAAAGGTAGGTGTGGTGTGTGCTCCACCATACACCACCACCACAGCAAGGTAGGTGTGGTGGTGTACTCCACCTTACACCACCACAACAAGGTAGGTGTAGTGGTGTGCTCTCCTACACCACCACAACACAGGTAGGTGTGGTGTCTCCATCACCACCACACAGGTAGGTGTAGTGGTGTGCTCACATACACCACCACAACAAGGTAGGTGTAGTGGTGTGCTCCACCTTCACCACCACAACACAGGTAGGTGTAGTGGTGTGCTCCACCTTACACCACCACAACAAGGTAGGTGTAGTGGTGTACTCCACCTTACACCACCACAACAAGGGCAGGTTAGTGGTTGTACTCCACCTTACACCACCACAACACAGGTAGGTGTAGTGGTGTGCTCCTGCCACCACCACAACACAGGTAGGTGTAGTGGTGTGCTCACATCACACCACCAGCACAGGTGGGTGTAGTGGTGTGCTCATCTTACACCATCACAGCACAGGTAGGTGTGGTGGTGTGCTCCACCTTACACCACCACAACACAGGTAGGTGTAGTGGTGTACTCCATCTACACCACCACAGCACAGGTAGGTGTAGTGGTGTACTCCACCTACAC